CTCCACTCGGCTTCAGTAGATGGGGTCGGTGGGGCAGGAGTGAGAATGAGGCAGGGGGTTCAAAAGGGGAAACGTGAAAAGGAGGAGGGAGAAGCAGAGGGGACCAGGACGAGACAACGGGACCGCCCAGGATGCCTGTGCAGAGGGCACCGGCCGGATGCAGAGGAGATGGGACATGGATGAGAATGGAGAGGGAGAAACAGGGAGAAGACGTGAGAGAAAATCACAAGAACATGCAGCTGTTGAAGAATAAAGAAGTAAAAATAGCGTAAATGATTTCATGTTAAAAAAAAAAAACAAACTGGGGGCCGAGCGCTGTAGCTCACGCCTGTAATCCCAGCACTTTGGGAGCTGGAGGCGGGTGGATGACTCCCTTGAAGTAAGGAGTTCGAGACCAGCCTGGCCAACGTGGTGAAAGCCCGCCTCTACTAAAAATACGAAAATTAGCCGGCGTGGTGGTGCACACCAGCAGTCCCAGCTAGTCGGGAGGCTGAGGCAGGGGAATCGCTTGAACCTGGAAGGCAGATGTAGCAGTGAGCCGAGATCTCACCACTGTCCTCCAGCCTGGGCGACAAAGCAAAACTCTGTAAAAAGAGAGAAGTAAAGAAAGGAAGAAAGACAGAAAGACAGAAAAAGAAAGAAAGAGAGAAAGAAAGAAAGAAAAAGAAAGAAAGAAAGAAGAAAGAAAGAAAGAAGAAAGAAAGAAAGAAAGAAAGAAAGAAAGAAAGAAAGAAAGAAGGAAAGAAAGAAAGAAAAAGAAAGAAGAAAAAGAAAGAAAGAAAGAAGGAAGGAAGGAAGGAAGGAAGGAACAGCAGTTAGAACTCTGCGTGCTCGGTTCTTTCTTTTCTTTTTGAACGTAAATTCAAGATTTTCTTGTCTTCATAAAAGGAAAGATGAACCTTAGAACTGGATCACTTGGCCCTTTCTCTTATCTCCTCCCAGCTCAAAATGCTTGCATCTTTTAGTAGCCAGCATTCTCCTAGATCTGCAGTGGGGCTCAAGGCATTCAAGCCTTAGCACAATCTTCTTTGTAGTTTTGGCTTTTTTCCAGAAAGTTGGCTTAGTTAGCCCACCATAGCCATCCTGCTTCCTGTCATGACGCCGCTTTTCCTGGGCATGCAGAGAATCCTGGCCCTTCTTGTGCTGTGTCACTGGTGGGGTTGGTGCTTGCCACACCTCTTACAGAAAGTCCGGCAGGTTTTAGGAACATTCACCGTGTTGGTGTGAGGGCTTCCGGCTTGGAAAGCAGCAACCGCGGTTCTAATCCGAATCCTGGTATAGTCTGGCTATAACCTGGACACACTGGGGCGAACCCACGTGTCTTTTGGTTTGCTTTTACTTTTTCCACCAGCTGCAGCCTTTATCTGCAGCCAGAAAGCCACAAACACGGGGCCCAGTCAAAGAGAAACCTTCAACGTGCTCTGTATCTCACTGATTTAGAGAAACTATGAACCGACTCTCAACCTGGCTGGTCTGCAGCTTCCACGGATGAGTAATGTAGTCATTGCCTCTCCCTGGTTGAGATATTTCAAATATTTAGTGGGGCTTTTAACGAGAGACAGACACTCTCGAGTGTGGAAGAAGAAAATGACGGGGTGTGAAGATGAGGCGACTTTAGGACAGAAAAAAGAGAGACAGAGAGAAGGAAGCCATAAACGTTTTCCGGTGGGCATGAGGCGGTGCCAATCCTGAACCCGGTTATGTCAGCGCAGCCCTCGTCCAGCACAAACACCGTTTCCCACATTGAGGAAATCACCTCGATCAGCACGTCTAGAGTGCGATGAGGAAGTTTCACTCTGGGAGAACCCCCTTTGTGACACGGTCTCCCCTGCCAGGTAAGTATGAATGAGCGCATAACCTGCAGGGACAGCACAGCCTCCTCTCCCCTGGCGGTGTGCTCACCCCTGGCCATTCTTCCACCAAAGACGGAAGCTTCCGCCATTCCCTCCACCAAAGATTCCACCCACGGTCCCCCACGCGACATCCCAGGCCTCCTTTCAGCGGCGGCTCCGCCCGCAGCCCCCACGCTCTCACCGCAGCCGCTCCGCCCGCGCCTCTGCCGAGTCCGCGCACTTCACCCCCAGGCTCCCGCTCCCCCCTGACGTTTCAGTGGACGCGGGGATCTGAATGGAAAAGGAGAAGCCTGTGCAAGTGCTTGGTAGAGTGCAGACATGGCGGGATTTGACGGTGGTACCACTGTTTTGACATCCTGGAGTGATTTTTACACCTGCCTTCTGCTTAGGACGCCGGCAACGGTTCTCCATGTGCTCCTACTCCGCCTGCCGCCTTCGTTTGGTCAGCGAACATCGTCTTCCTCCACCTCTGGATCTCCGAATGGAGGGGCCCTGGGGGGCGTCATCGGCGCTCACTCCCCTCCCATCCTCCAGTCACCTCTTCCAAAGGCCTAACAAGCACGGGAGCTGCAAACCGAGGTGGGGAGGCTCAGCTGACGGGCCGGTGTACACACAAACACCACGACCTGGCTTGGCCTCTCTCTTAGTTCACAGCTCAGCCCCATCAATGCCTCCAGGGCGGCGGCAGCAAAAAGGGTGTGCTTCTTGGGTGCTGACATCCCTGCACGGCTGGGTACACCTGAGTGAGATGCTCAGTCGCTCCCTAAAGCTACTTCAGCGGATAACTGACTCGGAGATAAGCCAGAGCGGTGTCTTGAGAGGCGGCCCACCAGGACTTGCCCTCCTTTACCAGGGTTTGCACCTCACAGAGGAGACTGTTCTGCATCTGGCCCTTGGAGCAGGCTGTCTGACAGCGCAGTAGGAAGACTCCCGCGGGAGGAAGGCTGGTGCCAAAAGCTTCCCTGACCGGGAATCGAACCCGGGCCGCGGCGGTGAAAGCGCCGAATCCTAGCCACTAGACCACCAGGGAGATGCAAGACATTGCTGTCTCTCCTGTCTTTGGCCTGAAGTGACAGTTTCCCTGTGCTCTGGGAGGACTTCGGCCTTTTGGGGGTCACTGATGGCTCCTAAAGTCATCTCAGAAGGCCGTTCCCTCTTTTCTCCAAAATAAGAGCATACAGGCAATGCAATGAGCTCTCAGTGAGACCCAGGAAGGCCATAAGTCCTGAGTTCCTGAGTGAGATGCAGCATCCCAGCTGCACCTGACCACTTTACTACAGATGCACCTTTGCAGGGGCCGCAAGAGAAAGGATTCCCTCCTGCCTGAAGTTCTCTGTTCTTCTGGGATTGGACGACCTGGACCCAACTCCCTCCCCCAGCACTGGGATGGGGCTTTTGCAAGGGCAGGTGATCTTGCTGTGCTAAGGAAAACAGAGCAAGGGGGTGGAGGAGGAGCTCGGGTGGAGGAGCTGAGGAAATCAGGTGAGAAACGTGAAGCGGTTGGCTATACCAGGCACAAATAGGACCCACTGGACCCCAGAGCCTGCATGTGAAGCCAGGGCTTGGGCCACCTTGCTCCTAAAAGGGGTGCCTACTTCCACGGGGTCTGCAAAGGGACTGTGGAAAGAGAGGCCTTTGGCCCACGCCTCTGAATGTGTTCCACCACAGCGTGCCCTGCGGCCTCTGTCTTGCTGCTGAGGGGCAGTCAGAACCGCAGGGCTGCAGAGCCTCTGTGCTGGTCAGTGTCCCAGCCTGAGCGCCAGAGTTCAGCGGGCAGGCCCCGGAGCAGGTAGAGAGGACGGCACCTTTCGGACAGAATGTGTGGAACAAGAGCGACGGCTCAGCCCTTCAGGCTCCTCACGAAATGAGAAGTCAGGAAGATCAGGGTGCAGACCTGATTTCCCACCCAGGGCTGAAGGCAGACAACTGGAGAGTGAGCAGCACCTGGGCCAGTGAGGTGGAAGACAGAAGCCCGCAGTGTACTCCTGCCCTCAGCCTTACCCCCTCCCTCCCACATCGGCCACACCCCTGACCACCTTCCTCAGAAGTGTAATAGGAATCCAGATTCCACCTGGCCTGCTTGCTGCGGGAGGCACAGTGGCCGGATGGAGCTTGAGGCAGGTGCGGGAAGATGCAGATTGTGTAACTGGAGGTTGGGAGCCCAGGGTGCAGAAGAAGTCTGGAGTGCAGGATTTGGTGGTATGTGTGTGGCAGTAAGCAGAAGAAAGAGAAAGCCAAGCCACTGGAAACACCTTAAGAATTCAGCTAGAAAATTCCCAGAGAAGTATGCATGCAGGCGTTCACAAGATCCAGAAAGCAGCTGCCGCATACCTGCAAGCTGCAAGCAAGCCCTAAACTGCTGACCTTTAAACAGCCGGTTGGATTCACAAAGACAGTTTCCCAATAGTCTTAAGAGCAGAGGTTCACTAAAGCCACTGTGCCCTGCAGCCAGGATCCCAGTAAATTCTTTAAGGAACGTTTATGGAAGAATTTTGAAATTGTCCTTGGTAACCCCCAAGAATGTTTTGGTTAGGAGTAGAATTTTAGATGTCATCGATTTAAAAATTAAAACTAGAACTCTGGAACCCATAGGGATATAAAATTAAAAGAACACATTCACTATCCTGAGTAGAAAGATCTCTTATAGAACATAACAAGCTTTAAAAATAAAGAAAATATAAGGCAAAACTTCATCAAAATTAGATGCTTGAGAACTAAAAATAAACCCTGAAGCCACCCCACCAACTAGACAGACCCCTTAGCCAAGGAGACCCCAGAGAAGTGTTAAGTACTGACTTCCTGGCCAGTATTTGGAAGGTCAGACACCTGTCCTTAGACTCTCTCCCTTTATTGATTTAGACACAGCCGACCAGTACTAATGTTAAAATAGCGACCATGAGACTGTCAGAGCAGACGCTTTACAGCAGGAAGATACCACTTTATACACAAGATGTAAGGCCGTGCCAGGCAAGGTTAAGCCGTGCACCACTCAACTTAAAGAATAAAGTGTGTTCTAATTGCCACAGGTATTTTTCTTCTTCCTTTCTTCTCTAGCAGCTACACCTGCACTGGCCTTGAGATAAGCAATGCTGAAGCCCTCGCAGCTCACCCATTACCACACACTGACTGAGCCCCCCACCCACAAGCCGTAACTGCTGATTTGATTGGACAAGAGACTGATTTCAGCCACTTTCTCTTGATAAGAGACCTCTGGCTGTGGACGGGTTCTGGCCAGTTCACAGAGGCTGTGCACCTGATTGCCTTTGTGTCCCTCCTTCACCTTTTGAAGCAGGAGGCCTAATTACAAGGTATTTAAATGTTGCCTCCACCCCAAAGTCAACGTGGGTTGCATGTAGCAGGCCTGTTTCTTCAGCATGCATGCAGCAGGATCCCTTCATGAATATTCAGAGCTCTCCTATTCCCTGTTGAATATGTATACGTGGCCAGCCAGATCAACATAGATACCTGCTCCACTGTCCTCTCCCTGGAAACCTGCTTTTCCGGTTTCAGCAGGAGGGCGTGCCTCCCAGTCTGTCCGAATGGCCACCTTGCACGCTTGAACCCTATATAAAAAATAAAATCTGCTTTCTAAGTTTATAAATTGTGTAATTTTTCAGTTGAGAGTTTTCAGTTGTCAGTGAAGCCACAGACTGGGAAAAGTCATTTGCAATATAGCTATTTGAAAAATTACTCCATTTCTGAACATATAAGAGATCTTCCATAGATCAGTAATAGAGAGCTAAGCCAAATAGAATCAGGCAAAATATTCGAATAGGCTTTCCAAAGGAGAATTTCTTATGTGTTGGAAGCCATAAGAAAATATGCTTGATAGTATCACTCCTTAGGCAGGTACAGACTAGTTCCACATTGAGATAGCACTAAGCACTCACCAGTGTGCGGCTACATTTACCCCCCAAGACAGGTCTCACTCTATCCTCCAAGCCGGAGTGCAATGGCACCATCTCCACTCACTGCAGCCTCCCTCTCCTGAGTAGCTGGACTACAGGTGCACGCCTCCATGCCTGGACAATTTTTGTATTTTTAGTAGAGACAGGATTTCACCATGTTGGCCAGACTGTTCTGAAAGCATAGCTCCATTTCACAAAGTTAGTACACCAAATGCTGACAAGAATTTGGTGCCACTTCAACTGTCATTGCTGCTGAAAAACCATTCTAGAAGACTGACAGTTCATTCTAACGTTAAACTTATAATCAGGTCACGACCCAGCAATTGAAGTACTTCCATGAATCTCAAGTGCACAAAAGACTGTTATGCAGATCAGGAGGTCAAGAGATCCGAGGCCATCCTGGCCAACATAGCGAAACCCTGTTTCTACTAAGATAGAAATATTAGCTGGGCGTGGTGGCATATGCCTATAGTCTCAGCTAATCAGGAGGCTGAGTCAGGAGACTTGCTGGAAGCCGGGAGGAGGAGGTTGCAGGGAGCCAGGATCATGCCACTGCACTCCAGCCTGGTGCCTGGCGAAAGAGTGAGACTCTGTCTCAAAAAAAAAAAAAAAATTCATCACAAGACTTCAGTAACACCAAAACCAAAATTCAGAAGTGATCTATGATACTATGTGAATAGATCTCATGAGTATAATGAACATAACTACAGAATAAAGGCCAAATACCAAAGATATATACATTCACTCGTGAATTTTAAGAACAGGCAATTGTAACCTGTGGCAAAAGACATCAGAATAGTTATTAACTAAAAGCACACAGGGTGGGAATTGCCTGGAAAGGAGCTCTACAGGCCTTTCTCAGATAATGACAGTTTTTGTAATTGAGTTGGGTGGTGATTACATTTACCAAAAGTAAACAAATTGCACTAAAGGCTTGTGCACTTTATGTGAACTGTCGTTTAATAATTTACTGTTCTCATTGCTTGAACCCGAAAACGAAGGTTGCAGTGAGCCAAGACTGAGCCACTGCACTCCAGCGTGGGTCACAGAAAAAGACTGCATCTCAGAAAATAATAATAATAATAATTGTTCTCATAAAAATTAGCGGGCAGGGAATGGAGGCGAACCGATGTAGTCATGACAACTAGTGTAGATTTTATCGTAAACTCATTAAAACTCTTTCTCATTTTGTGTTTTTAAAAAGTCCCGCTGATAGAGCTGTTTTCTCTCCCAGAAAAGACTGTAACCGTATTATTTCATCAGTGGAAGCTGTAGAGAAAGGGTCCTTGAGAGGTGGCATCTTCGCCTATGGGGCTGTGAGACGAAGAGCACGTCCAGGTTCCTTTTGCCCAGGCCGCCCCTAGCTCACGCGCTGTGGGCTGAACTCCTCTGACTGCGGCGCTCCGGGCTGGCGGTTTACTCTGCTCTCTGCAGGTTGCTGGGATTAAAGGCAAAGCGAACTGCAGGTCTATTCGCCACCATCGCAGGGTAGAAAACACCACTGTGACTTGGACTAGAACCGAGGCTGCCGCAACCACAACCACAGGTATCAACCACTACACGACCTCAAAGCCTGCTGCCAACCATCGTAGTTTTTATAATTTTCAATGTAGAAACACACACTATTTTCTCTGCTTTTTCCTGAACGTCTGCCGACGTCCCTGCTTTTCTCTCTTTCATGCGCCTCTCCATTTCTTTCACCCCATTCTGCTACATGATTTCAAAAAATCTCACCTCTCAGATCTGGCCACTGCCTCTACAACAAGCCTCCCGGAAGGTCTCCTGGTCTCATCTACACCTCTGCCTTTTTTGCTCCGTTTTTGTTTTTGTTTTGACGGAGTCTTGCTGTCTCCAGGCTGGAGTGCAGTGGTGCGATCTCGGCTCACCGCAACCTCTGCCTCCTGGGTTCAAGCGATTCTCCTGCCTCAGTCTCCCGAGCTGCTGGGACTATAGGCGCGCGCCACCACGCCCAGTTAATGTTTATATTTTTAGTAGAGACGGGGTTTCACCGTGTTGTCCAGCATGTTCTCGATCGCTAGATCTCGTGATCCACCCGCCTCAGCTCCCAAAGTGCCGGATTACAGGCGTGAGCCACAGCGCCTGGCCTCTTTCACTCTTTCTCAAGTTTCTCCTTTTGACGCAGTCGGTTTCCTGGCTCCTTTCCCGCCACCTGCACCGACTGCACTGACCGCACCGATGGCACCGATGGCACCGATCGCAGGAGAGATGGGAGGGGAGTGCAAGCCGCCCAGCGAGGCGCAGGCACCGGCGGTCACAGTCCCGGGCATCTCAAGGGGCGCTGGCTTCTGAAGCAGGTGGGAGCAAGGCCGAAGGCGCTACAGGTTAGGCTTGCTGAATAGTACTTGCTTCTTCTTGGGTTCACACGAAGCAAGCATTCTCATCTCGGTGGTTCGATAGGTTAGCGCGTTGGGCTGTTAACCCAAAGGCTGGTGATTTGAACCCACCCAGGGATGTGAGCTTCTCCTTTAGATAAATTTCTGCTTGTTCATACTAATATCTCTAAGGCAGACAGACTCCCTGGAAGGGCCTAATTGTCAGCTCATCCTTTGTCAACTTGGCATCCAAGTAGAAACAATAGCAAAGTCATTTTTTTTCTGCTTAACCTTTATCCTATATATAAATGGAGAAGAGGACCCGAAATCTTCGCTGATATGTTCACTGTTCTTCGTGGTCTCCTGTAAATTACAGATGTACTAAGGTATAAAACTGTACACCTTATTTTGGATGAGTAAGGAGATGACGAGTGAAGAAAACAAAGAGTTTATATAAACATAAGGAAGAAATACTCATAACTACTACATTCCTCTTTCTGCAACTGGCCTCCTGGCAGCAGCTGGTATTTGTGACCAACCACCTTCTTATCTACCATTCCACATTCTGCCTTCAGCAAGCACCTTGCCTGGTTGTGGTTTTTCACCTGGTGAGGGGACATAATCTGCTCCTAAGGGATCTGTGTGTATCTTTTACCACAATGAAAAATTTAACACACACACACACACGCACATGCACAAAAACATACAAATAGATATGGGTTTATCCTGAAGAACTTCAATAAAGTTCATATTAAAAAGGAAATGATCTGCTTTAAAAATCAGTTTTTTTCCCCATTGCTTCCTTCACAATCCACAGCTTCTCTTCTTTTGTCTCAACCAGTCTTTCCAATACAATTCTCCCCTGCTTGTGCCCGTGGGATCTTCCCCCCACCACCTGCCTTTCTTCCAGCCTCTTCACTGCAGCAGAAGGAAAAACCTGACTATGGTGGATGCACTTTCTAAGTCATGAGAAGATACAGAATAGAGTCAAAGTGGATATTCTTCAGCAAAACCATAAGATATATTTGGGACTCTGGAGTCTGAACGCCTTTGCTGCATGGCATAATAATTCATCAGTTTCCTTTTCATGAATCAGGACTTCTACATTTTTCTTCCCTAATATCTGATTATTGTTTAGAGCTAAATAAAATAAGGCATAATGGGCCAGGCTCCATGGCTCACGCCTGTAATGCCAGCTGCAGTGAGCTGTGACCACACCACTGCACTCCAGCCTGGGTGAGAAAGCAACACCCCCATCTCCAAAACAAAAACAGAAAACTGTTATGTATTGCACTTCAGAATTTCTTCATGAAAGTCAGAGATCCCCCAAAGAGCTTTAAATACAAAAAGAAACCAAGCCAGTTAGTTCTAGCCTGGTCTCAGCATTGTCTTATACACAACATGTAGAGAGGCAGTCACACTTAGAAAAGTTTTCCTATTGAATAAATTGAAGTTAACTTTTGAAACAGAAAGAAAAAAATTTCCCCAAATGTGGCTGGTCCTAGATTTTAAGTGATTGTTAAATGGGGAGAAAATCTTCCAAAAATCTTTGGAAGAAAATTCATCACCTGTTGTCATTTGCTGTGTCCCTAATGCAGTAACATCCTCACAACACAACCAGATAAACAGTTTCCAGATTCTGTTCTTTGCTTTCCTGTATTACAAATATTTTTTGGACCGGGAATGGTGGTTTAGCTGTAATCTCAGCTACTCCAGAGGCTGAGGCGGGAGGATCACTGGAGCCCAGGAGTTCCAGACTACAGTGAGCTAGGAGTGGGTCACTGCAATGCAGCCTGGGCAGCAGAGTGAGACCCTGTCTCCTAAAAAAGAAAAACTAAAAAATAAATATATATGTAATGTTTGGGCCAACACCTTTTGTATTTTTTTGAGACAGTCTCCCTCTGTTGCCCAGACTGGGTGCAGTGGCCCCATCTTGGCTCACTGCAACCTCCGCTTCCCGGGTTCAAGCGATTCTCCTGCTTCAGCCTCTCAAGTAGCTGGAAGAACAAGTGCACACCACTACACTTGGCTCATTTTTGTATTTTTAGTAGAGGCGTGGGTTCACCATGTTAGCCAAGCTGGTCTTGAACTCTTGACCTCAAGCCATCCATCCGCCTCAGCGTCCCAAAGTGCTGGGATTACAAGTGCCAGCCACCATGCCCAGCCAAATTCCAGGTCAACACCTGTTGATACACATTGCCAGACACAGATTCCGCAACCCGTCCTGGAACACCGATGGGCCCACAGAACACTCCGAGGCTCCGGTAGCTGACGATGTTAGCAAATTCTGTTCTGGGTTTCTGGGGTACAGCCCCGAGGGTCCCCTGCACAAGTAGGTCCCCGCAGCTCCCCTCAT